GTTGTCGGCAGCGTCGTCGTCGTCGTTGTCGCTGTCGTCGTCGGCGTCACTGTCGTTGCCAAGTGCAATCTGGTACCCACCGTCACGGTCTTAAGAGATTTTGCAAACCAAGTTGCGGGTGGGTGGGTGGGATGTTTGCGCGACCAGTGGAGTGGACAACTCACTGCGAACAGAAATCAATTCTCCTTTTTAAAAACAAAATAGACTCTACCCCCCCCCGGCGTTATTGGCCCCCCTTTCGTGTATGTAAATCATATACGATTCTGACCACATTTCCATCCTAAATATGAGTTTACACTATCCCGGAGGGGCCGGGATCGGCCCCCCTTAGATTCCCTTGTAAAAACCAATACGCGGGGACATCTTTTGTTCTAACATAAGACTTGTTCACGAACCCCTTGCAATTGGACGAAGTGCACACGCGCGCGTCGTCGCGCGCGCATGCCGGAATCCTTCAAAAACCTTCGGTGTCGGAAGGATTTCGCAAGCGAGTTCCCAAAAAAAACCTACAGAAACACAGGGTTTCGCAACACTGATTTGCTAAAAAAGCATACGCGCGAGCTCTTGCGAAATCTTAAGAAAACCATCGGTCTTGCAAGATTTTCACCAAATGCTACCAAACGGGTTTCGCGCGCGCGCATGTCGAAATCTGTCGAACGCCCTTGCGCGTGTGCCGTCCGAAGAACCTCTGCAAAAAATTGGACGAAGTGCAGACGCGCGCGTCGTCGCGCGCGTATGCCGAAATCCTTCAAAACCCATCGGTTTCGGAAGGATTTCAACATCGTGTGTTCAGAAAACCTACAAAAACACCAAGTTTCGCAACACGGATTTTCAACAAAAGCGTGCGCGCGAGCTCTTGCGTCATCGTCGTCGTCGTCGCCTTCCTCCCTCCTCCCGCATCGTCCTCGTCGTCGTCGCCTACGTCGTCCTCTGTCTTTCCTCGTGTTCGTCGTCGTCGTCCTCTTTGGCGTCGTGGTCGTTTCCGTCGTCGTTGTCGCAGTGGTCGTTCTTTCTCCTCCTCTCTCGTCGTCGTCGTCGTCCGTGGTCGGCGTCTCGTCGTCGTCCCGCCTATTTGGTCGCCGTCGTCGTCGTCGTCGTCTTCCCTCCTCCCTCGTCGTTGTCGTCGTCGGCGTCGCCGTCCTCCCTCCTTCTTCGTCGTTCGCGTCGTCACCGTCCTCCCTCCTCCCTCGTCGTTGTCGTCGTTGTGGCCGTCGTCGTCCTTCCTCCTCCCTCGTCGTCGTAGTCGTCGTCTTCGTTGGCGGCGTCGTTGTCGTCGTCGTCGTTGTCTTCGTCGTCGTCGGTGTCGTCGTCGTCGTCGTCGGCGTCGTCGTCGTTGTCGGCGTCGTCATCGTCGTCGTCGTCGGCGTCGTGGTCGTCGTCGGTGTCGTCGTCGGTGTCGTCGTCGTTGTCGTCGTCGAAGTCGTTGGAGACGTCGTCGGTGTCGTCGTAGTCGGTGTCGGCAGCGCCGTCGTCGTCGTTGTCGCTGTCGTCGTCGGCATCGGTGTCGTGGCCAATTGCCATGTGGTACCTACCGTCACGGTCTTGTCTCAAGGTCTTGCGACCAAGTTGCGGGTGGGGGGATGGGATGCTTGCACGAGCAGTGGAGAGTACAGCTTCAAGACGGTCAAAGTGAATTGCATCCCATAGATTGTACAACATAGAGTGCACATCTATAGTTCAAGAGCACTCTGTTTGGGGTCAACGCTGGCAAACATACTCTCTTGGGCCCAAAGCCCCTGATCGCCAAGCGCTTCCAGCCTCTTCAGGGCGATCCTGCGGACTCGTCGCGTGAATTTTCCGAAGCCTCGAAAACGTGGCTGGTTCCCCAAAAGGCCCCCGCCGAAGGCACCCCGAGAAAACTCCAAGAGTCGTCCAAGAGGCATCTGGCCAACGGCCCAGGCACTTCTAAGCATCCCAGCACATGGACGCACTTTCCGCACTGCTGCCGTGCAAGCTCCATGCCCTCAAGTAGCATCACTCCTGATCTGCATGCAAGAGGACTGCAATGCCGTACAACCTCTCCATTTAGCACTGTCGTAACACATGCAAGCACAGTTCAAAGCAAGGCTCCCACGATCGCAATTACTATCAAAAACCAGGCAGACGTATTCCAGAAGCCGTGCCTTCGACATCGCCGCCGCAGCCCTACAACCTACAACAAAACTGCCCTGGAAGAATACCTGACCGGCGGCACCAGCGAAACCCCGTTCAGACACACACACACACACACACACTCACACACACACACACACACACACACACACACACGCACACACACACACACACACACACACACACACACACACACGCAGACACACACACACACACACACACACACACACACACACACACACACGCACACACACACACACACACACACACGCAGACACACACACACACACATACACAACGGAATGTTCGCAACGATATGGGCATTGTCTGCGTCCTCCCCCTCCCCGAGCTCCCACAACTTCCTTCTCCTCAGCAGTGCGACACGCGCTGTGCACATGGAGCCCTCTGACACATATGGCACTAGAGCAAGAACAGAACAAAGGGACGGAGGGAGTGCCAGGACGGCTAAGCTTCTGGGCTCAGCGCGCTTGGCAAAACAACTAGCCTGGCGAAAGGTCCAGTACAGCGCAGCTGCGTTTAGAGCTAGGGGTGACCGTCACATCATACAGAATGCACCGCGGGATAGAGCGACGATACTACAGGGGCGCGCACATTTGGGCTGTGGGTGGGGCACGATCCTCGTGAGGAGCGCCCCTGAATGGGAGCGGTGCCGCCATGCGAACTGACTCACTGAGGCCGTATGTCAGGCTGCCTGCAGGAGACGATCCGCGTGAGGAGCATGCCGAAATGGGCGCAGCGCCGCCACGCCAGCTGGCTCACTGAGGCCACAAGCGGAGCCCCCATATGGGGCACGATCTGCGCGAGGGCTCTGCCAAAATATTCGCGGCGCCGCCACGCGAACTGGCCCGCTTTGGGCTCTAAGTGGAAGTTCCTACCTGCTGGGGCGCGGTCCGCGTGAGGGGTATACAGAAATGGGCGCGGCGCCGCCGTGCAAACAGGCCCTCTGAGGCCGCAGGTGGATCTCCCTGCTGGGCGCGATCCACGTAAGGGGAGCGCCGAGATGGGCACAAGAGAGCCGCAAGGGGGCCTCAAGAGAGGCCAGAAGATTTCAAAAATGGCCCCGAGGAGGGCCCAAGACTGCCTAGATATAAGCTTCCCAGGGGCGCCCTTCTCACAAGACCCGCGAATAGATGTATGGTTGACTCCTGAGCCAACTCAAGCATCGAATAGGGGATCGACTACAGAATTGATTTACCGAAACCATGAAACAAAAATGCTCGTGTCCTGTTCGTAGAACGAACATTCTACGTTGCATGCAAGAATTGGACGAGGAAATGAATTTGGGGGTAAATCAACTCTGTAGCCGATCCCCGACTCGAAAGCTGATCCTGCGTTTCGGTTTGACAGCTGCCCCCCCCTTGTTCTCTGCTTGCTCTTGCACGTTTCTGATCGAGGCAACTCGCCCGGACATCGTTTCTGGATGGGCTTGGCGAGGAGACGTGCAGCGTCCAGGATCGAGCTTCAGCCATAGAAACTGTGATGCCGATTCTCGGGAGCACTAAGGGCTACTGAGGATTACGGAAGTGGCAATCGCTTTGAGCCCGCAGATCGGGAGTCACGGAGGACCCTCACAGAAACCAGCACGCAAATGATACAATTAGCTTGTACTCGAAAGAATCGGCGGGACATAGAGCTGACCAAAGACCCTGGGTGCCGTGTTGAAGCTTTCTGGGTGCCCTGTTGAACGCTTTGGGGCCGCTGTTGGGGCCTCTGTTGGGACCATGCTGCCGTGTCTTGTTCCGACTGGGGGCGTCTTGGGGCCCTCTTGAGCTGTCTTGGGCCCTCTTGGGCTATCTAAGGCCTGTTCGGGGGCCTTCTTGGGGCGTCCTGGGAGCTTATTGGGTGCCGCGTGACTCTCTTGGGCCTCTCAGTTTGGGCCCACTTCATGATCAATCCACGACCTGGAGGATTCCATGGCCACGCTCATTTTGCGTCGTGGTCCCCATCCCTGGTCCACCGCGCGTCGCCCAAACTTGCCACCCAGCGGCCACTCGCAATTCGTGACTGCCACTAGCTGAGTGCAGCCGCTGGTTGCGTCCCTGGACGCCACAAAGAGTGCCGCCCGGGATCGCTTTCACGTGACGCCTTCGTCGCTGATGGCCTTACTCCCTGAGTCGTGCCCTGGCAAGCCACGCGGTCCCCCCCGTTACTCCTGACCTGTGCACGACTCGCGTCCTTTATCTGGTTGTGCAACGCCACTGCAGTCGCACTGACAGCTACGTGGACTTGAGCCTGCCCCTGTACAACCCGAGATGCTTCATGCTCTGAAGGCGGTCTGGCCGTCCGCGGCACTCTCCCCGATTCGCTCCCGCCTTTCCTTCCGCTTCTTGGTGCCAAGTTCGCTCAGCAGCAGTCCTGTTGCACCTTGACCGCAACTTGAATCCAAGGCACCGCTGATCTGAAGGTTGGGCCCTCTTGGGGTCATCTTGGGCGCCTTCGGTGCCACCTTAGAAGCGCCCTGTGTCGTCATGGACACTCTGCAAACGGGAGAGGCGAGCATGCCGACATCTCACAACAAGCCGGGTCCCACGAATGACTTTGGCCTCGCCGAGGCGCCGGGAAGCCATCTACGAGATGTCTGCAGCTGTCTCTAACCGAATCGCACCTGGCATCTCGGCGCCATCCCGGGCTGCCTTTGGCCCAACCTGGCCGCCTTGAGGCTCTCACGTCGCCGTCTGCGAGCGTTCTTGGGCCCATATCGAGCCGTCATGGGGCCCTCTGAAGCCGTCTTAGAGCCCCCAGGAGGCCGTTATCGGGTCGCGGAGGGTCACCAGGACCAAAGACACCGAGTCGCCAGAGGTTGGCGAACCTGGGCGGGCATGAGCCAGTCAGGATCTGCGGGCCAAGTCCCTCTTTCTTTCTTCCAGCTGATTTTGCCGACCCGTGTCAAGTGCAACCTTGTGGTGGTGCCCGCACGTGCCCAACACGATACAGACCGCCCGTGCTCCCAGCTTCGCTGGCACGCCGTAGTTTCTGGCGCTTCGCGCATCCCTGCCAGCTCGCCAATAAGAGGTCAATCGGAGGGGCAGAGGCGAAAACGACACCACCACAAATGTTTATGGCCCAAGTTGACTGGCGTCATACGTCTCGTCCCTGAACGCCTTCAAGTGTTCCTCAAAACTACTGTTAGACTCTTTCAGGCCTGTACCACTGGCAAGAGCGCATCTTGTGTCCATAGTGGCAGCGATGTAGCAGCGCGAAGGTCACGAAGATCCGACATCGAACTTCAATGCGAGCTGGGCTGCCAGCGAGAGGAAATGAATCCGACGCTGAATGATGTTCAGCATCTGCCGACTGGCCGCTGCTAGTGGCCTTCGATCAAGGGCTGTCGAGTTGACTGAAGCCCTCCAAAGCTTAGACAGGCGGGAAAGTCAGTGTGCTTTATTTCGTCGAGCCTTGCTGCTCACACCTCGAGATCGTCAGCAAGGAAGCTTGTCTACTGCCTGCAACGCGAGGCTGCCAGCCCCAATCACGGATATGCAGCAGAACTGGAAAACAACGAAAGCACCGTGTATCAAACGGTACGCAAGACTCAGATATGGTTTCAAGTCGACGCCATCTGCGGCAAGCCATTCGGCAGCTCATCTTCGGCGTGCGTCTGGCATTTAGACTTCGGGCAGTGTCGTCGCGAACCGCGGCATGGGACGAGGCGGGCAGTGGACTTCAAACGAGAAGCCAAGCGAAAGTAGCCATGCATCAGACCAGGCAGGGCCCATAAAGGATACACCCACAGGCAATCCATGCACCTGACCCATCGGCACTGTGAGGTGTGGATATCCGGCAACTGCAGGAAGCGTCGATGCTGCTCCCCCGAAGTGGTCGCCGTTAACAACGTCGATGGTCCAGGGGGCACTCATAGTCGGGGCAACCAGCGCCTGCACATTGTGTTCACGTAGCAATCTATCAATACCTTCAGGACCAGCAGCACGCTGGGAACTGTCGCGTGCTTCCCTGTACCCCTCGCTCTTCATGCCGTCCGTCTTATCCGCCTCCAGGAAATGCTCCTGACCGAAAAAGGGCATCTCTTTGTCGGCCGTGCGCGTGTTGAAATCGATAACCTGTGCGAGCGAGCGGGCCTCCACAGCTGGTGCAGCTTCTGCCAGGTATGCCGCCAGGCCATCCTTCAATTCGCACAACAACACCTTAAACTCTTTGTTGCCTATTGCGTCCAGGTCCCCACCGAACTCGCCGATCTCAATGAGCACAGCACCCGCGTTGCGCATGCGATCAAGCGCATCTTCAAACTTATCTTGGACAGCCTTGTCCCAGCCCCCACAGATAAAACGCGCGACGCCAATACGCGTACCTCTCAACGACCCCGCATCCAAGCTGGCGGCATAATCACGGTGGTGAAGATCTGCCTGTGCCGTAGCAGGGTCCTGTGCATCTGTCCCGGCCATTGCAGTGAGCAGGTAAGCAACATCTTGGACGGTGCGTGCCATCGGGCCAGCCGTGTCCTGACTGTGCGAAATGGGCACGACGTGGCGCCGCGAGACGAGACCCACAGTAGGCTTTAGACCGACGATGCCGCATGCGGCTGCTGGACAAGTAATAGAGCCATCCGTCTCTGTGCCCACCGCTGCAGCCGCCAAATTGGCACTCACGGCAGAGCCGCTTCCTGAGCTGGAGCCCACGGCTGTGCGGTTGAGCGCGAACGGATTTCGCGTGAGGCCTCCGACTGCACTCCAGCCGCTCGTCGACTTGCTCGAACGGATGTTCGCCCACTCGCTCAGGTTAGTCTTGCCCAGGACCCGCCACCATGCCGCGGGCACTGGCGGAGCGCGCTCGGATCCTCGGTAGCTCTTCTCACTACCGAATGTGATTAGTGGATATGCCCTACGGCCCTAGACGTTCGATGTCTCGGCTGTCTCGAGCGCTCCTGAGATAGCATTTCTGTCACAAGCACGTCCAGGACGGCGCAAGAGGACCCCAAGATGGTCCCCGAAACAATCAGGAGGCCCCAAGAGGCCCCGAGCGGTCCCCGAAAAAACCTCCAACAAACCGCAAAGAGGCCCAACAGACCCCAAAAGGCCTCCAAGATGCGTCTGGTCCACGACCCAGGCACGGTGGCGGGATTAGCCGAAGGTCCCAAATTCGCCACACCGCGTGCTTGCCAAAGGGGTGCACGCCGTAATAAACTGTCAAGGCACGTCATGGCCTGTCCAAGGTCAAGGCAGCCTTGCCGGCCACCCAGAAAAGACGGACCCCCTGGGCTTTCCCGCCCAAGATGCTGCCCAAAGTGACCCAAGCGTCATCCAAGTAGGCTCAAGATGCTTCCAAAAGGGGCCTGGAAGGCCCCAAGACGCTCCAAGATTGTCTCGAGACGGCCTCAAGACGGCCCAAGACGCCCCAAGAAGGCTCCAAGAGGTCCCCCAGGAGAGCCAGACGGCCCAAGAGCACCCTAAGACGGCCCAAGAGCCACAAGACGGTCCAAGAGGGCTCCAGGAGACCCCCAACCGACAAGAGCCCAAAACCAGCCCCGTGACGACCCCATAAGGCCTCCCCTGTGCTCCCCCTATGATTTCCCCAACGACTGAGGCAACACGCAGTCCACTGGCATGGCTCGACTGTCGGCCGGCATTTCACCACACAGGCGGCTCTAAAAGGCAGGGGGCGCCCGTGACTCGCCAGAGCATCTCCGATCCGCCGCGCCCCGTGACTCATCCAGGGGTGCTTCGCGTGCCTGGCTTAGGAGCACTGTTCGGCCCCTCCAAGAGGTTCCCATAAGCCCTCCCGTGCTGCCGCCCGCGAAGGCCCAGAAAATCAGCCTCTAAGATGACCACGATGGCGCAAGATTGTTTCCAAGATGGCACAAGACGGCCCAAGACGGTCACAGATGCCCTCCAAGACGCATACCCGACGGCAAAGATGGCCCAAAGATGATAGAGACCTGTGAAAGAAAACCAGCCCAAGACGCTCGAAACGACCCCAAAGGGACCCCAAGATGGCCCCAAGACGGCCCAGGAGAGAACAGCCCAAGAGAGCCCCAAGACGGCTCATCAAAGTCCCCATAACGGGACGGCCTCCGAAGGCGCAAGTCTGTCTAAGAGCGCCCTGAGACGCCACGGAAGTCCGAAAGGAAGGACAGACGCAGCATGACAGCCCAAATCAACCCCAAAGCGTCCCCGCAATGGTCTCCCCAACTGCCAGGGGAACAAGCAGTCCACTGGCGTGGCCGCACTCTCGCTCGACATCTCACGGCACAAGCCTTTCCAAAGGCAGCAGGCGGCGGCTGATTGCCACAAGCGTCTTCGATAACAGCACCTGATGCCCGCAGCTTGGCTACCAGCGGCGCGTCACGCCCTGTTACATTTGCTGCCAAAGCCAATGACCCTGCAGTAGTAGGGATTGGATCTGCGGTCTCAATGTTATCTTTGATCAAGATGGGTACCCCATGCAAGGGACCACGAACAATGCCATGCGCACGCTCGGCGTCTAGTTGCAAAGCGTCAGTCGCAGCATTTGGATTGATCTGAAGAATACTTCGCAAGCCAGGCCCTGCCCTATCTATTTCAGCGATTCGCAGCAAATACATCTGGACAAGCTCTGTCGATGTGACCCGAGCATTCGCCATGTCGGCAGACAGCTCTGGTATTGTTTTCTCTTCTATCTGGTAGATGCAACTCGCTTGCAAAGGCAAGGGCTTCCTCATCTTGGGCACTAGACTACATCTGCTGAAACTGCTGAGCTGGCCATGCTCGACATGTACGTGCCTTGGCAGCGCAGCCCAATTCTCTTTGCTCTCGCAAGTGTTCTCACGCTTTGTTGGGGAGACCCTTGCGACAGCAAGGGCCGCTGCCACCGCACCATTGAATCGCACTGCAGTGCCGATCATTACCGCAATCGAAACCTCTTCACCCAAACAACAGTTCCTTCAGCCAAAATGAATACTGATGCAACAAGAAAATGTACATGCTTGCTGACTGGGGAAAGGAATCTGCACTGGAAGCGTCCCGCAGGACGGCCCTACCCCGTGCACGGCGGTGACACCGTAGCACCACCAAGTGTGGTAATACTGGCAAAAAGACATGGTCAGTTCAAGAAAGACATTGTCATTGCTTAGCTGTTGGACATCCTGCACGCTCCTGGGGAGACCGACGTCCCCCGACCAATGAGTGATTTATCGTTTGACACATGCGCTACCTAAAAAAAAAGGAGATTGCGTCAGAAACCGTTCCTGTTGCACTCTATCACAACAGGCTCGAACAGTGAGTACGCAAAATTCAGCTTCAAGACCCTCGGGCGCACATGCCTGACCACTGGCATTGGCGCCAGGCCCACAGATTCGAGCCAAATAGGAAAAGTGTTGGCCGACGACGCAGGGGATTGCAATCACATGTGAACCCTACCCCTGCAGGTAGATTTCTGGCAAACTGGCTTGGGCTCTTGATTCGAGGCATGTCTGCAGCCAAGGGAACCCTGGCGGGGACGTCCGATACCCAAGCGTCGATTGGACCCACAGGGGAAATATTCGCAAGTGGTCGCAGAGAGGGATGCAGAGGGCAGCCTCGCTGTACCACCGTATGAGCATCGTTCATTCTACCCCTATCCCCAACGGCACGACCTGGGACCAACTGGCCGATCTACCCCCCTAGATGGGGATATCGAAGGCCGTTCCCTTCGAGTTTCGAAGGGTGCATCCCCAACTGGGATGCTGAGATGTTGGGGGGCTGGATAAGAATGGGGATGTGGATGTGGATAGGCGTCGATTCAACGATACTGACTGTATCCCCGCTTTCGATCCTGAGTTCTGAATGTGCCCTGCGCGCCCGCTTCAGCTCGTGCAGCTCCCAGCGGCGGCGGAGCGGGCCGCCAACGACGGGGTCGGTTGGCGCTGCCTGCTGCCAACGAATGCCGGCTGGTCCGAATGCTCCTCCTCCCCATACCCCTCGTCCCCGATTCCTTTTCCTTATAAATAATGTCTCCCCGTCGCACCCCGGGGCCAGTTTTTAGGACGGGCTGGGCGTTTCGCCGGAGACTTCCTCACCACTTATGACCCTGAAGCTTAAAGAAAGAACAGCAGTTCCATAGATTGAGGGCGAGTCGTTTTCAAAATGTGGCTCTCGCTCTAGCGCCGCGCACATTCGTTTTAAAAAATTGCAAGCGCTTCACTGATTGACGGCAGGTGGTTTTCAAAATGTGGCTCTCGCCTGAGCGCCGAGCAAATTCGCTGTAACAATTTGCAAGAGCTTCACGGATTGAGGGAGGTTCCTTTTCGAAATGTGGCTCTCGCCTGGGAGCCGCGCACATTCGTTTAAAAAAATGCAAGCGTTTCACGGATTCCAATGATCAGCGTACCAGAAACTGCGTTTTGGAGGGACTCAGGATTACAAGGGTGCAACAGTTGCACTGATTCGCGGCGTTGAAGTCCCAAGCAGGCTCGTCAAGACGCAACAATCAGGTTGATCCGTGGCGTTAGAATCCCGGGAAGAATGTGTTGGTACGCTTTCGTGTCTTCAAACAGTTGTCTTCCAACGAGGCAGTTCCTTCAGTGGAAATGACAACCCTTTTAAGGGCCTATGAAGCGGGAGCTTCGAGAAAGGGTTCATTCCAACATCGTTGATGACTATTGGGTTTACACTGGTCATCCTCCTCCTCCTCATCCTCATCCACCCTCTCTTCCTCCTGATCCTCTTTCTCCTCCTCCTCTGCTCCTCAAATAACTTCTCCCTGTCGCACCCAGAACCCAGTTTTTAGGGCGGGCCGTGCGTTTCGCCTGAGTCTTCCTCACCATGTATGACCCTGTAGCGTAAAGATTAATAACAGTTTTACAAATGAAAAGCGAGTGGTTTTCAAAATGTGGCGCTCGGCTGAGCACCGCGCACATTCTTAACAAAAAATTGCAAGAGTTTCACGGATTGAGGGCGGTTCCTTTTCAAAATGTGGTTCTCGCCTGGGAGCCGCGCACATTCGTTTGAAGAGTTTAAAGGAATTTCACGGATTCCCATGATAAGCGTACCAGAAACTGCGTTTTGGAAGAATTCTGGATTATGAGGATGCAACAGTTACAATGATTCGCAATGTTGAAGTCCCAAGAATGGCGTTCTGGCACGACTCAGGAACGTCAAGACGCAACAATCAGGTTGATCCGTGGCGTTAGAATCCCGGGAAGAATGTGTTGGCACACTTTCGTGTCTTCAAACAGTTGTCTTCCAACGAGGCAGTTCCTTCAGTGGAAATGACAGCCCTTTTAAGGGCCTATGAAGCGGGAGTTTCGAGAAAGGGTTCATTCCAACATCATTGACGACCCTTGGATTTACACGGGTCTTCTTCCTATTCATCATCATCACCACCACCACAATCGTTATCATCATCACCATCATCATCACCGCCATCATCAACAACAACATATCCGTCCGCCTGCTCCTCCTCCTTCTCCTACTCCTGCTCCTCCTCCTCCTCTTCCTCCTCCTCCTCCTCCTCCTCCCCCTTCTTTTCCTCCTCCTCCCCCCCCCATCATCCCCCTCTCGCCTGCACCCCCTCCTGCTCTTCATCTCCCGCTTCCTCCCCCACTTCTTCCACGAGTGCACAATGGAAATACTACTCTCATCTCTCTCTCTGATGACGTCCAGAAGATGTCCGGCCCCCCTCCGCGTATTGCTTCTTACATACAAGATTCCCCGGATATTGGTTTTCGCTTGGGCCTTTGTTTCAATATGCTGTTCCCGCTGAAGCGTTGGCCCCCATTTCTGCGCTTCTGGTTGTTCCAAATCGTGTACCCGCTGCACCGCGGGCGTCTTCGGTCTTTCCAAGTAGGCCAAAAAATCTTAAAAATGGCCCCCCGGAAAACCATCAGAAATGATGACACATTCGGTATCGGTTCGTTGGTTTTTTGATCGCAAACACTCCACAACTTTGGGGCGTCGTCGTTTTCAGGAAGCATCAAGCGGGAGCCCCGCTTCTGTTTTGAGAATGCGATGTTGAAGTAGAGCCAGCGGGTGCTATGCATCAGCCCCGCCTTGTGTGGAATTTTTC